AGTTCAATCCCTTGCCCTGCCACAGAGCTGTTGTGTGACTCTGGGCAAGCCATGTCACTTCTGTTTCTTCTCCCATCCTTCGTCCAGTTAGATTTTAACTTATTCAGGGCAGGATATAGTGTCTGTCACTGCCTGTGTGCACCATCTAACACAATGTGGGCCTGGCCGCAGCCAATGCTTCGAAGTACTATGGCAATGCAAATAATATGGTAGAGGTTTCACTTCAGTGAGATTTTTTTTTTACATATAAGAACAATCATCTGAGTGTATTCTGTAACTCATCTGTTTTTTCCTTTCTAGGAGCAATCATTTGTGATACTCAAAGAGCTTAAACCCTCAACCACTTACCAAACTGACATTCAAGTGCTCTCAGCCACCGGTCATGGGCAGTCACATGGGAAACCTTTCAAACACCAGAGGCTGAAGCTGCAAGCTAATAAGGTTACAGCATAGCAGCCGTGTTAGTCTGGATCCGCAAAAAAGAAAAGGAGGACTTGTTGCACCTTAGAGAATAAATTTGTTAGTCCCTAAGGTGCCACAAGTCCTCCTTTTCTTTTTGCTAATAAGGTTAGTTATTCATGTGGGGCCTAACTCTGCAAACTCCGATGCACATGAGTAATCCCATGGGATTACTCACATCAGTGGAGTTACCAGCATGAGTTCAGTGTTTGCAAGATGAGGGCTCATAGGCATGCATTCATTCGAAGGGCACTAATCCTACAACTGTTCTTATTTTGGGAGGGTTCTGTGCTCTGACAATGGGATGCTGTTGCTGCTTCTGCTGCTGTTGGCCATGGGGAACCGCAGGGCTGGAAAGAAAGCTCCCGTACACTTCACTTGCTGCTTCCCTCCATCCTGGACAAAGTGCTAATCTGACCTGCATTTAAAAAGCCCCTGGGTGTCAAATGACCTGGCACATCCAAGCTGCGGTTGACAATGAAAACTGATCTCCTGCCGTATCTCTTGAAAAATACATGAATATTATGGCGGATAATCACTTAGTACCCCATCTACAAAAATGACAGGTCCCAGGTTTACACAGCCTCGAGCTCCTTATCAGAGTGTTCCTTTTTAATCTGTAACCTCACCGAAGGGGATTTCATCTACCTGGAGTTCAAAGTCCTGAAGGAACTGAATCCAGACTATGTTCAATGCAGTGAAGCCTATGCTCATGGTCACATTAAGGCTTCAAGTCTGAACACACAAAGGCTGTCAGGAGCATAGTCAGTGTTCCTTTCCATGACTCGGTGTCTCCTTGTGATATTTGGTGAGTTTCTTGAAGCCCCATTGCCTGGCGGCATATGATTATGCAAGAATCTGGCTTTTTTTTTTTTTTTAAAGTGTATTACTAGCCACTTTAATTGTGGATTGTGGATGCAGAAAAAGCTTGAAAACGTGACCTGAGCGCTCCCTAAAGGCTCAGAAGGCAAATACAACTAACCCCAAATGGATAAATTTTTTTTTTTAAAATCTCATGATTTTTGGGTCTGACTTATGACAGTTAAATGCTTGGGATTGATCATACTAATGAGTGCTTAGATCAGGCCAGGATTTAGAGGCCAAGCTCATGTTACAGTGAGGTATAGAGCCAGGGAGAACTTACAATCTGTGTCAAGCAGCTAGATAAAGAGTCCTCTTTCCATTCACTGTAAGTTACAGTCCTGTTGTGCTCCCTGAACTCTGCCCAGCCCATCTTCCTTTCTTAGGTTGCTGTTTAATGGATTTATGAAAGCCAGAGGATTGTGTAAATCGGACTGCTGATCACTTAACCATTCCAGGGCTGGACTTACCATACAGAAGAGCAAATGGTTGCCTAGGGCAGCACAGTGTTTAGTGAGAGAGAGCTGGGCTGGATAATTTCCAGTTTGCCTAATAGAACAGGAAAAAAGCAACAAGCCCTCAGTCTGGCACTGAACCCACTGTTTCATTTGCAGCGTCACCCCATCAAGATACAACACTCCTTTGTTACAATATTTCACGATCCAGTTTCAATACCCAGAGGAACATGTACACTGGTAGATGCTGCATAATCTCAAAATATTCAGCTCACGCCCCAACCACACAAAGCTGAAGCAAAGTCCATGTGGGCTGGCTGCCTTCCAACATTCCCTGCTTCATTGACTTTCTTCTGCTTGGAGGAGCTATTGTAGCTTCTTCTCACAAAGGTTACCAAGCCAGAGAAAATGCACCCTTTCCCCTGCAGCCAAATCTCACTAAGTATATAGAACTTCCTATTTCCAAAATGCTGTGCAACTATTCTCACAGCACAGCTGTGAAGCCGGTCAGTATTATCTGCATTTCACGGGTAGGGAAACTGAGACACAACGAGGTTAAGTTCAGGATCACATAGGGAGGGATAAACCATGCTCTCTCTGCTGCAGCCAAGGAAATCCTTGTCAGTAGCTGCACCACAGGAGGAGAGGATTTGGAACGCGCCTTGGGGCACAGTAGGTCAAAAGACGAGGCTATAAAGGTTCACAATTGTATCCTTTGGGTGCTCCCCAAAATAAACAATGACAATAATTTCTCAAAGTGAATGAATGGTTGTTAAATGATTTGATATAGGGTCTGTAGAAGGGGAAGTGTTGTAATAAACTAACACGTATGTACCACTGTCTGCTGCTTGACGGGATTAGCACTGCTCATCTGTGTGTCATAGGCCCCATACTGTTAACAACTAATTGCAGAGTTGTCAGCTATCATGACTCTCATAATATGTTTCGCTTTTAGTTGCTCTTGATCTCCCAATTCCCAGCATCAAACACGCTCACTTTTTCCCATTTAAAATGTTTGCAGTGAGCTATTACTTAGAATGGAACTGAAGCCATAGAGTACCCTCTCTCAAGATGGCTGGCATTTCCCATCCACCTTTTTTCAGGGGGTTGTGCATATGTAACACCGACAGACCCTGGTCGTTGGTGGGCAGGATTGAACCCTGGACCTCTGGAACTAAATGCATGAGCCAAAAGCCAACTGGCTGTTAGCAGACTCATTTTAACTCTCTCTCTAAGTCGTCTCAGTGCCACTAGAGGGGACAGCGCACCACACCCAGATGGTGTGTGGGTTACGCATATGTCTGGGCTTTCCAGGACATTGCCTCTTTTTTGAGCTTCCGTGCTCTGTCCCGGTGGATTTTTCAAATAACTGGAAATGTCCTGGATCTTTGCAGAGCAGAGGCTGTAGCTCAGAAAGAGCCACGACTGGTCTGCTTCCCGATTGCTCCCGCCCTTGCATCCGCAGCGGGTTGGTCCATTCCCCTGCAGCCACAGTTGTAGGATCCTGCCCGCCCAGGCCCTGGGGAGGGAGTCCTGCAGGGAGGTGCTGACTGACAGCTGTTGCTGCATCCTGGGCTCTCGCTGCCACTGTGACAGGGAGCGACACCGCCCCCCCCCACCTCCAGTGAGTACTCCTGCCCCCCTCTCCCCCGCACCTGCAACGGTAACACCCTTCCACCTCCCCGCCCAACTTCTCCCCTGCTGCAGTGTCCTTTTTTTGGGAACATGAAATATGCTCACCCTGTTTGTGCCTCAGTAGAAATGTTTCCAGTGAGACAGAACCCTGGCTGCCTTCAGGAACGATGGGTACCTCCCAGGGTCAGGAAAATGAAGCCAAGACAGCGGGGGGGGGGGGGGGCTGGGGAAAGGAGAGGGGCAGGAAAGAGGATGAGAAGGGGCAGGGGGATGCAGGGCAGAAGAGAAGATGGAATAAAGTTGGCAGGAAGGAGCAATGGGGGTTCAGGAGAATGGGGGATGCAGGAGGAGCCTGGGGAATATGTGGAGCAGAAGAGACTGAAGAGGTGCAGGAGGGAGAGTGAGGGAGTAGAGGGGAATGTGAGGAATAGGAGGGAGATGGGTGCAGGGGACTTGGAGGGGGAAGACAGTAAGGGGTAGGATACAGTAAAGTGAAACAGAAGGAACTATGGGGGAATTAAATGCAAAGGCCAGGTGTAAGACAGAAAATGGTGGGGGTGGGCATGGATACTGAGAGGGGCAGGGAGAGAGATGGGGAAGGGAGTTGAGCAGGTTAGTGGGGAGGGAGGTGGAGAAGGATGGAATGATAGTTCCCCCAACCACCAATCTAAAAGTGAGGTGCATCTAAGTTCCCTCTGAACAGCTAAGTGAGAAGCCCTGCAGTTTTGTATGTGCAGGTAAGAGTAAATTTTGCCCATGAAATGATCACACACACACCCCGAAAGGCTCAACAGTCAGAAGACAGACCAAAAGTTTCTGTTTTAATTGCATGATTTTTAAGCCAGTGATGCTTTGGGTTCTAAGTGCTGGTTCCTGACCGCTTGGCGTTGGCGGGGTTCTCCTTCAGCTGAGGCCCATGATTTAGGGAGAGGTGCTGGCTCTGTCCCTGTGAAGTTTGGAGCGGCCTTGTTTTGCAGCACAGTGACCACCACGAGCATCTGCCTAGGTGGCTGGGGACCGGCTCCGAGCTTATTAGAAACACTTGCAGACTCTCGCCTCTAAAATAGCCACCCCGTAACCAAACCTACTGGAGGGGCAATAAAAGCACCCCGAGCAGGATGGATGGTGGGGGCGGAGCAGGGTGCAGATGGGGGGCTGGCAATGCAGAGGTGCGGGAATCAGGGTGGTCCCTGGGAGATGAGTGGTGTTGCCGGGCATGTGGAGAAGGAAAGGCGGGGAAATGTGTAGAGATCCTGGCGCTTTAATAATGGCAATGACCTCAGGGGCATGGAGGGTGGGAAGGACACACCCAGGTCCTTCTAAACAGAGATGGATTTAATTGTGCCTGTCCCTTTAAATCTCTAGCCCCGGCCTCTGTGGTGGGAAAAGCGTGGTGCGGTGCCCCGCCTTTCCTGCGCGCGCCCGGGGCAGGAAGGGGAGAGAGAGCGCGTTAGCGTACGTGACGCAGGCGCGCTGAGGACCAGGCCCCTTCGAGCACATGCGCACTAGCTGAGCTGCCGGTCGTGCTCTCTCCGCGCTCCTCTCTCCCGCCCTTCGCGGCCTGTCGCGGGAGAGTGAGGAGCTCAGTGTGCGCCGGCGCAGTGCGCAGGGACTTGCCCACGTGAGGCGCTGCTCAGGGGCTGGCGGGAGGCGCTGCGCCAGCCAGGGGAGCCGGCGGCGGCGGGGGGCGGAGCTGGGGGCGCTTTGCTGCGGCCGGGATGCGCTGGACGACAACGAGGGACAGAGGTACGAGCCGGGGCTCGGCTCCCGCCCGCCTGGCGGCCGCTTGGGACAGAAGGGGCCGGTTTGGGGCCGGGGGCGGGTAGAGTTTGAGGGGCGGAAGGGGGGGCCCAGCGTGTAGGGGGGGGCGGTTGGGGCTGGGGTGTGCAGGGGGGGCGGCGTGTTTGGGGGGAGGGGCCGGTTGGGGCTGGGGTGTGCAAGGGGGGCGGCGTGTTTGGGGGGAGGGGCCGGTTGGGGCTGGGGTGTGCAAGGGGGCCCAGCGTGTAGGGGGGGCCGGTTGGGGCTGGGGTGTGCAGGGGGGCGGCGTGTGCAGGGGGGAGGGGCCGGTTGGGGCTGGGGTGTGCAGGGGGGGCGGCGTGTTTGGGGGGAGGGGCCGGTTGGGGCTGGGGTGTGCAAGGGGGGCGGCGTGTTTGGGGGGAGGGGCCGGTTGGGGCTGAGGGGCGGAAGGGGGGCGGCGTGTTTGGGGGGAGGGGCCGGTTGGGGCTGGGGTGTGCAAGGGGGGCGGCGTGTTTGGGGGGAGGGGCCGGTTGGGGCTGAGGGGCGGAAGGGGGGCGGCGTGTTTGGGGGGAGGGGCCGGTTGGGGCTGGGGTGTGCAAGGGGGGCGGCGTGTTTGGGGGGAGGGGCCGGTTGGGGCTGAGGGGCGGAAGGGGGGCGGCGTGTTTGGGGGGAGGGGCCGGTTGGGGCTGGGGTGTGCAAGGGGGGCGGCGTGTTTGGGGGGCCCCGGTTGGGGCTGGGGTGTGCAAGGGGGGTGGCGTGTTTGGGGGGCAGCCGGTTGGGGCTGAGGTGTGCAAGGGGGGCGGTGTGTTTGGGGGGCGGCCGGTTGGGGCTGGGCAGAGTGACCTCTGCCCCCATTTTGGGTGTGAGGTTGGTAAACGGTTGCTGGGAGGGAGGTGGGTACTAGTGGGAAGCTGAGGCCCTGGTTTTGCTGTGGTGGAGGGAAGGACCCCACAGTACAGGAACAGAGCTTCTTGCCATCTCCCCAGAGAGTGGTTTGAGTTGTTGGAGGAGGTACAATTATTCCCTGTGTCTTGGGTTCTATGTTTTCTTGAAACACTTTCTGCGACATCCATTTAGGAGGTTGGGAGGATATGTGCCCAAAATTCCCTCTCCGAGTTCCAAGGAAAATCTGACTAGTCTGAGCACACAGATTAAAAGGATTTTTATTGGTTAAAATTCACATTTAAAATCTACATTGTCTTTATGATGCTTATGTTACTAGTGATTTAAATTATAACTGAAAGAACTTTAAAGATTTCTAACTATTTACAGTGTTTGCTTTTTGCTGTATTTGTCAGGGTCATGGAAAACATACAGGGGGATTTCGGAGACATTGGTATAGATTTCCCAAAAAAGCAATATGATTTCATTGGGAAATTTTGCCAAAAACACTGAAGCCTTGCCTGAATCGAGATACTTTGTTTAGTTTGCTTCTCTATTTTGGCTTATTCCTTTCTTTGCTGTCAGATGTCAGTGTAAAATGCAAGGAGTCACTCAAATGTAAGATGTCAAAGTGAACAGGTGCTCCTGGACCAATCAGAGCAACCTTGCGAACTTTACTACAGGAGTCTAGTTGTTTGCAACTGTCAGCTGGGTCCTACTCCCTGTTCTAGTCTCTCACTCACTAAGGAAACGTGCCCATTTCAAGCTGGTGCGCTAAAAATTGATTGTAGCTGCGGCAGCGAGAGGGGCTGGTCACCATGAGTACATACCCATCTGAGACGCTAGGCCAAGTAAAGTCTTGGCCAGTGTAGGGTCAAATGAGCTTTTTCTTGGAGTGCGAGGATTTTTAGATGTGCAGAAGTAAAGAAGAAATTTGGTGACTGGAAATTGTTATAGTGCTTGGGATGATTTGGTAACTTCAGAAGCAGAGGAAGGCTTTGGAATAATTTTCCCTTGTCGGAAGTGCTAAACCATACTATGCTGTCAAACCCCCTTCCTGGCCTTTCAGTCTTCTCTTGAGGAGATTTCCAGCATTGCTTCTCCCTCAATAAACTAAAGATTCAGCTACCTTGGACCACCAGTTCGTAAGGCCTGGGCTCTACTTTCAGATCAACACAGATCTAGTGTTCAGGAGTCAGAAAAATCCAGACCCCTTCGCATCATAGCTATGCCGATCTAACCCCCAGGTTAGACGTAGCTACGTCAATGGAAGTATGCTTCCTTTGACCTAGCAACTGTTGCCTGCGGAGGTGGAGTTCCTACAGCAGTGGAAGAGCCCTTCTGCCCTATGGGGTCATGCCAGCACATGATACAGTTCAGAGGCTGGCAGCTGGTGCAAGGCACTGGTGCTCAGCACGGTCACTGGGGACCTGAGTTGCAAGGCAGAGGGAAGCTGAACAGAGAGCCCTGTGTGGCGGAGGGATAAAAACACAAATTGGATACATGGACACCTGTTCCAACCGAATGGATGGATCTTACAATCGCGTTGTTGTTGCTGTGTGAGCTGGACATTTCAATCGGTTTGATGGCATTTAATTTCTCAGCTGTCTTGAGAGTTAACACCATGAACATGAGTAGGGAAGCTTGCACCTTTTGGAGCTACTTTTTCATTCTCTGCATGCTTCAGAAGACAGGAAAACTTTCTAAAAAGATGCTAAGGACCAACAACTTCACTTGAAATCAGTGGATGCTGTAGGTGCTTAACAGCTCTGAAAGTAGGCTCTTAATTTTTTAATGAAAGCTTAAATTCTGAGAAAACATCAGGGAGGCCCCTCAATCCATGATAAATGCAGAGACTGTGCATGTAGATTTCTAGTTCCTCTGCTTTTTACTCCTAGGACAATGAAAATAGACAAATTTCACTATAGCTTTGTCAGTTGCACATTCCTGCTTTGATATAGTGACTGGGATGGTGTTGGCAGATGTTGTTTCATGTGATTATAAAACCAACCAAAAGTTGCAAGTCTAAACATTTTAAAATGGCATTAAAACATTTCTACTAAAGAACTTATTTGTACAAAACCTAATTTTTGGGCTAAACATGCCTGACCCCATCGCTTTATTGGCAATAATTTTCATAACTTATTTTTTATGTTGATATACATACGTGGTACTATTGGACTTTGCAAGTCACTGTTTGTAATATCTTATATGTGTATAGTGTCTTTCATCCCAAAGCATGCTCTCCAAGTGTTACTTCATCACTGGAGGGTTACTTCACTATGCGATGAAACTCAGCAGTTGTTCAGTCGTGCACATAAACACTGCACAAAGGTTTAGAACAGGAAGTGAAGAGCTACTGTATCCAGTACTGTAAATTTTAATCTGTACAAACGGAATTACATCAAATTTGAGCTAAACATCCGTAGCTGCTAATGCAATGATATGTAATTATCCCCCATTTTCACTGTGTGAAATATGGAAACAGAAAAGTTTAATTTATACAATCATTTAGATTTTTTTTTAAACTTTTCATTGTGTGGTCTTCTGTTCAGATTAAGCTACCTGTGAAAAAGTTTTCTAATAACTTCCAGAAATGCACATAATCTTTACAAAAAGAAAAGGAGGACTTGTGGCACCTTAGAGACTAACAATTTTATTTGAGCATAAGCTTTCGTGAGCTCTGTAGCTCACGAAAGCTTATGCTCCACTAAATTTGTTAGTCTCTAAGGTGCCACAAGTCCTCCTTTTCTTTTTGCGAATACAGGCTAACACGGCTGCTACTCTGAAACTTGTCATAATCTTTACAGTGTCGCAAGCTTGTAACTGAACAGAAAAAGGAAGAATGTTCACAGTTAAGGATTCAAATGTGCTGTATGTTTTCCAGCACGGAGGATGGTGACATAACTAGTTAATTTTGCTCCAGCAATGAATGTCATGTGTTGACTAAAATGTAGGTGGGATGGCATATGTCTGCACTAACTGTGTTCACTAACAAAGTAAAAGGACCTGTTGGGGTTAAAAATTGTTGCACCTGTGCAGAATTTGGCCCTTGGTGTTAAAATGAGTTTCTGTACTTGAATAGAACTATTAATTTTACTGGTGGAAGTACTAGCTGTGCACGTCTGAGGCAAAATTGGACCTAAGTAATACTGTTTCCGTGCAATGTAAATAAAATATAATAGAGTTTAATATCCCAGAAGAGTGGGAGTATTCTCAGAGATGAGGCAAACTGTATGCTGTCGTCATCCTACTGTGCCTGCTTACTGCAGCTAAGAAAACACGACCTGGTAGTGAGTGATCCTAGACGGCGTATGCCGTGTATTGCGTTGGATTTAAGGACGTAGTGTCAGATGTATCTTAGAAGTTTCTTTGATTTTTAAGCCCAAATTCTTAAGGTTGATTCCATGTAACTGTTTTAATGTAACATTATTATTTGTAGTGGCAGAGTGGTGAGCACTTTTATTTTAAGGCACATGTACAACTCTACTGAGAAATACATTGCACAGTGCAGTTTCTCTGCTATCATTAGTGCATTTTTTAGCTATTACCCCCAAATATTTGCCTTACCCCAAATATTTTTTTAAGTTAAGAGAGAGCACACAAAACCAGTGATGGTTCTTGCAACACTGAAAAAATTAAATGTGGCAAACCTCTACTCTAGTATTTTTCAATTAAAACTTTTCATATAGAACATTGTTTTGCAGCTTTCAGGTCTACTAGTAACGATGAAAAGAGGAAAGTTTTCAGCCTGTTAAAATAATACTTAACCAATCCCTGGAAAGCTTTTTCTTAAAGGGGCACCATCTTGAAATCCACACTTTGGGGGGGGGGAAATAGACTTTTTCGTATTTTAAAAAAATGTTTTCCTCTCCCCATTGTGTCAGTGACTCAGGAAAACAGAAGAAACTGACTAGCAAAGCATGGGAAATAGTGAAATCGACTATGCGTTGTGTGTGCCAAATGCCTGAACTGAAATATATGGAAATTATCATTAATCTTTGTAGTAATATGAAGTATTATAACAATAGTAAGTCAACTTTTTTTGTACAGAAGTGTATTACTTTGTCCCTTTTGTCCCGTTTTTAACATTGGGACTAGTGTCCAACAGTTAGTGACACAGTTGTGCAACAATATTGCAAATTTCATTTCAGTTTTGTGAGACATCTGCTCTGAGTACAATTCAAGTTAGCCTTGTGGGGTTTTTTTTACGGTTAGGTCTTATTTTCACTAGGTCTTTTTTCCTAGAAATTTCCCTCTGTTGCTATCACTAATTCAGTTTAGTGTGGAGAAGAACAATGGTAGCTGCAGGCATTTTTAGCCACAGTTCTCTCTGCATGCTGGAGGTTAAAAAGCCAGCAGCAGTCCAGAGTCCTGACAATGCTAGTGTTTCTGCTGGTGAAGGTGCATCTGTGTGGAGAAAGGCTAGTGTCCGACACAATATTAGAACATAGCAAGGTTTAGAGGTGAACCAGTAACTCCAAATGGGATTGGGCATGAGAGCTGTTCTTGAAAAAACATTGGAAGGTAAGTTCATGAAGTTGTTTAGACTGACACTTCTGTGGCTCAGGCTGCAAGACACAGGCTCTTCTGTGCTCATCGTGATATCTGAGTATCTGAGATTGCCAGTAAGTGATGTTACAGGGATCTGAAGGAAGGTTTTGGAAAGTTCCATGGCAGTTAAAGGGAAACTACGAAGACAAAAAAGGGCAGTGAGTTAGGAGCCATTGAACCAGAGTGAAGTGAAGGACGTTGTGGGCTGGCTTTGCATTGAATCACTACTGTGCAGCTGGCTAGTTCTGCTTTTGTTGCCTGGGAAGGTTCCAGAGTGCTGCTGCTGCTACGTGAAAGGCCCAGTCAGCTCCTCTTGCGGTTTTCCAAAAAGGATCTCTGAAGCCTCAGGCTATGTCTACACTATGGCTGGATTGATGTGCTGGCGATCGATGTACTGGGGATCGATTTAGCTGGTCTAGTGAAGAACTGCTAAATCGACCACAGATCGCTCTCTGGTCACCCTGAACGAGAAGAGTAAGATAAGTCGACGGGAGAGTGTCTCCTGTTGATCCAGCACAGTATAAACACCGCGGTAAGTCAACCTAAACTATGTCGACTCCAGCTACATTATTCACGTAGCTGGAGTTGCGTAACTTAGGTCGACTTACCGGGGTAGCGTATATAGCCTCAGACTCCAGTTAGGGTATGTCTTCGTTGCAGCTAGCCAATCCCCTATTGTTGCTGCCATCCACACACACAATACTGTAATCTGGGTTTGGTGGTGCTTCAAACTCGGGCAGATGGACTGATTTTAAATCAGCAATTTTAATCTTGTCTTGCATTTGTACTTTTTAGTTACTTTCCTAAAGCAAGGTTGATTATCATTAGTTGGTAACCATTAAAACATGTTCATTTGCAACTAACTATGGCCTTTTACACTAAACTTTGTATTTTTTTGTTAACCAGGAGGATACGTTCAAGCTCTATAATTACTTACATTAATGTAAACGTGTATTCATATTCCTATTTTCTCGATACAGTGTTAGAAAATGGCAAATTACACATTGATTTACTAGATTAATTTTTTATTTGATTTAAGTCAAGCTACATTTGGAATGAAATTGGAATTCAATGAAATGCACAAATACAGCATTTTAATTTGTTTTTATTCAGATAAAGTTTATCAAAAACATGTTTTGCATTTAAAACTGATTTATTAAACATAGGAATATTAACTGTAATTAGTGAATTAAACTGTTTGTTTCTGATCACTGTGTCCTTCAAGATTTCAAAACTGGTATTTCTCATCCCCCGTACCTCATTTTTATTCATAGTCTGGAAGAGGGAAAACAAGCCCTTCTGCCCTTTCAACTCCCACTTAGTTTCTTAACTTTGAATGAACTAATCACTGAATTGAATGTATTGAATAACTGAAGAAAATATTCTCTCTCTACTGGCAGAAGAGGCTACTGCTGTGTAAAGTAGGTTTAGCACTCCAGCAAACTCTAGTTCCAGGTGCTTAGCCAGTGACTTCTGCCAGAGTATTGGTCTTTCTTTAAAACGTCAGCAGCAAACTTGTAGTGCTTGAATACTTTTTAAATTTAATTTAAATTATTTTAATTATAATAAGTTTAGGCCTTAATATAGGCAGTCATAATTTCAAGTTTAATTGTAAATACATTTATTTTAAAAAAGAAGAAAATATTTAAATAAAATGTATATTTTTAAATTGGGTTTTATCTGCTTGAACATGGGCTGGCTGCTCTGGCCCAGCCTGGAAGTATATAGGCTTGAGCCTGGTTTCCACTTTAATTGGGGTTGGTAACCTACCCACATGGGATATAGGCTAATCAACAGAGGTTCTAACAGTCCTCCAGTGCCTTCTTGCAGTTCCCCATGGGCTGTATTTTCTTGCCCTCTGCCTGCTCCTTTCTTCTGTACCGGAAGTCACCTTCCAGTTCGTATACACGGATTCAGCATTTGAACCCCACATGTCATGTGGTCTGCCACATTTCTACTGCACTTCTGCATACTTGAACAGAGATGCCATCCAGCACGCGCACACACACACGTTGTCCACAGTGCATTGCAAAATACGTCACAGTGGTGCAGTGCAAAGAGCCATGGGGTATCCCTCCAGAAGCCCTAGTGCCTCACACTGGTGACGATAGCACCAGTGTGGACACAGTAACATGGGCTGTGCTAACCTGAGTGCTGAACACCCAGGCTAACCCTGCAGGTAAGATGTACTCTTGTGGAGGACCTAGCCTAAAGAGAGATGGGTGAAAGTCAGGAGAGCAAATGTGAGGAAATCACCCTTATTGGAGTTGCTGCTGTTATATCCTGTTTAGGAGAACAGTAATGACTGCCTTATTAATAAGGCTGACAAAAAATAGACTACTTCCTCACAGTTGTGCTGATGATCTGTGCTGGTTTTTACCAGTGTGTGTCCCAGTCTATTACTGCATGATTCACAACTCTCTGCAAGTCAACTGCTGACCTTTCATGGTACAGTGGGAGTAGTAGTACTAACCTTTAAATTCTTTACCCTCTGTTTGCATTTCTATCCCAACAAAATAAAACCTGTCTGTTTTTCTGATTGTTCACTCTAATAGATTTTTCAACAGTGAACGCTATAGTCAGGGTTCTGTCAGAACTCCATTGTCAACGTCTGTTTCCACATATTCATAACTGAAATTCTCCTTTAAGGCCGACATTTCCATGCTTGATCTCAGTTTAGACACCACGCTCCCTTGTTTTTAAACTTGTGGAAGATCCCTTGGTGTCACAGTTGCTCCTCGTACTGCTGTGGATAAAATCCAAATTTTGTAGTAATCGTCCTTATTGAGAAGCAGATCTTTCAGTTGGTGAAGAGGGGGAAAACAAGTCATAATAAGTGGGTGACAAATCACTTCTGGGCATGCTTGGTGTCATCTCCTAAAAATTTTAGCAAAGGAAGCCCAGCCCCACTTGTAACGTACAGTGTTCCTGGCAGGCCCTGGGACAAGTTGCATAAAGCAAACTGAGAGTTGCAGTGACACCTTAGCAATCATCCATTTTTTTCCATTGGTGCTGCCCTGCTCTGTTGCTTGTTCAAATATTCTGCTATTCTTTTAATCCAGCCTGGCAGAAAAATGACTGTTGCCAAACATAGCAACAGTGATGTGAACCTTCTTCTGCATATTCCATTCACGTCTGTCAGAGGTGGACTGTACTCCCCAGGTGGTTCTTGAAATAACATTTATTTCTCCAGGCTGTACATATATTTGATGTGACTAGTTAGACCACTCAGAGAATATCAGGGTTCGAAGGGACCTCAGGTGGTCATCTAGTCCAACCCCCTGCTCAAAGCAGGACCAATCCCCAGTTTTTGCCCCAGATCCCTAAATGGCCCCCTCAAGGATTGAACTCACAACCCTGGGTTTAGCAGGCCAATGCTCAAACCACTGAGCTATCAGTCCCCCTCCCCTCCCAACTATGCCTAAGCAGAGAGAACGTAATGTGGGTGATTTGATAGTATTATGTGGCCCTTAACTTTTGAATTATTTAACAGTCTTATGTGGTCCTAAACGCGCATCCTCCATGTTTTAACTATTTATATTTGCCCATCTAAGATGCAGGTCACTTCAATGGGGAAAGGGATTTGTTTAGAAGGATCAGTCAGTGTCTTGAGCTGGTACTATTTTGTTAGTATAAGGGTTAATTTTGGTTGTGGCAGCTTATAGCATTGCCCTTTAAATACAGAGGAACCATTTTACAGTGGACTTGGCTATAGTGAAACATCATTTATAGTGAAGAAAGAGAGCTCCTTGCCTGGAATATGAACACTTTAGTTCCTTTTTCATGGAAGAGTTTCTGTTGAATTGACTCACCAGAGGATGGCTCCCCAATACTTAAGGTTTATTATGCAATAATCTGGCTTCATTGTGTCCCTGGTGGAATCTGTTAGTAATGCATCTTGGTGGCTAACTTTCAGACTTAAGCCTGTGGTTTAAAACTCCTAAGATGGAAGTTAAATATTATCTATGCTTTACAGATGGGGCAGTTGAGAGATTCACTAACCCAAATTGGGTCAAAATCAAGATTAGGAGAGAGTGATCAGAATAAGAGGTTACCTGCTCTTTGCTCTAACTAAGAGGAGCAGCTGAATAATAGAACTGGGAGGGGAGACATGTAACACACTGGTGAGAAAGCCGTTGCAACCGTTATGCTTGACCTTCAAATGCAATGTGGGGATTTGGGAAGCTATTGGAATTTTAGACAGGCATGGCTCCTGGAGGAATGTGAATTGTGTTTTCATGGCTTTGAATTCATAGTTATCTGAAATGTAACATTGTGTTCCTTTTTCTTACAGCTGCCCTTCGAGATCATAATGCAGCAGAAAAATGAAAGAACATAGAAGAAATTTAAATTGGAAAAGAAGTCGATTGCTGTTCCTTTCTAGAAGATGGACCACTGGATTTTGGGGGCTCAGGAAATACTGCTTCCAAAAGAAGCATTTTTTCCTAGCTAAGAGAAAAAGACAAAGTGCTCAATCAGTTGTGAGCCTAAACCGGAACAAAGTGTACCGATCTCTCCAGTGCAGAAGGAAGGCACTCAGACTCCAGAGTGAGTGGGTTCCTGAAGTGCTTCTAAATGCAAAAAACCGTCAAAAACCAACTGCTGAACACAGCACCTTTTCTACAAAAACGTCCAGAAGGGCAAAAAAGCCCTTTCCCGATGGCAAAACTGGAAACCCATGTGCACAGGCAATAGAGAAGTTGGACAATGAATCCTTTCAGGGTGAAGATCTCTTGAACAGAGTCACTGGATTACAAGAAGACGTTAGTCTTAGCTGCATGCACGGCAATGACAACAGTGCCTTTTGTGGTGGGCTGTGCGATGCTATCTTACCTGTAAAGAAGGAAGGTTTCATACCTAGTGGAGAGGAACGCAATAATGATGAAGGCAATTCCGTCTTAGTAGTCTTAAACAATTGTAAAAGAAGGTGTTGCAGAGGGCTAGAGCAGAATGGAACTTGTGCCCCCTTGACTACTAAAAAGAGGTCCAAATTTAACCAATATACTGTAAAAAAGATACCTGTATTTATGATGCATAAGAAACTTTCTATGATTAGGTTTCGGGATAGAATCATAAAATTCCCAAAACTTAGAGCAAGAGGCAAAACCTGCAAATCAAGTAAAATCAAGCCAAGCTGGGTGGAGAAAGTTTCCAGGGACTGTCAAGAGAATCTTCAAGGAGATTTTGAAGGTGGATTTTGTAACTGGTTTTCCTGCTGGAAATCTAAAAATAACTCCTTTTGGAACCTGTACAGCTCATCAGATATGAACAATAATACACCAGGACCTGTAGCTGAGGAGAATAAAACACCTGCATCTGACATCTGCCTTACACAGGATGCATTACAATGTGATGAGCTACATACCGAGGAACCTGCATCCAGAGATGGCAGTGTTAAAATCTGCCAACCAGAGCTGCACAAAACAGCTCCTTTGGGTACAGAGACCTTGCATGGGACGGAAACAAATGAGGCTCCTGCAGTGGACAGTTGCCATGAGGATCTTTTCCTCTCAGTAACAGAGAGAGAAATTGCAATTTCAGGTCAAGAAGATGCAGAATCTAATCAGGTTATGTGTGTTGATGAAATGATATTGTTAGAATCCTGCCAGGAGGATTCACATATGAACAATAACCTTGCAAATGGACCTTTTTCGGCGGAGCTGGCACAAAATGAAGACAGCTCTTCCCAGATGGAAGTTGAAGGCTCCATTAATCTGGACATTTTTAGTGCAAAGTTACTAGATCACCCTTACTGTAAAAGCCCCCTAGAGGAGCCTTTGCCAGAAAGCACAGGACTAAAATCAGGAACTCGAAAGGGAGGCAGAAGGAACAGTCAGAAAGTTTCTCGTGTGGCTGATGAGCAGTTATCAACATGGATTTGTGGTATACTCTTCACACGTTATAAAGCTAGTCATTCTTGAGAATAGCTGGGCATAGCATATGAAGTTGGGAACATTTGAAGTTTCCTTACCACTTTAATTCCTTTATTAAAGTGATTACACACCATGAATTACAAAAAGCGTGTAGCTTAATACTCTGACTGAGATGAGAGGCTGTGAGGAGGAGGATTGTAAGGGAAATGGGGCAATACTTTCCTCACTTGGCAGGCTTGCTTATGCTAGCTTTAGAATGGTACCTTCTGAAGTATGGGTATAATGCTTAATGGACCCAAGGTTTTTATTTTTCAACAATTGTTGAATGGTACATCTTTCTACTTTGTTTTAGAGAATACAATCAAATTGGGCTGCTTGTGAAAAATATGGATCAGCATTTTAAATTTAGAAAATGTTTTTACCTTGAGGTTATAAAGGGACAATATAGGGTTAAAATGCTTTTAAAAAATAAAAATCAGGTAATCTCACGTATTACTGGCCACTTAGATCGTGATCTGATTTGCTTTTCCTTAGGCTTACTGCCTGTGTAATTTCTGCACTTCATTTAACTTTAAACAGGAGACTAAACCAGTCGATTTCACTTTTGGGTTTTCATACCCTAAATGTTTGAATAGGGAGGTAATAAACAATTATAGGGAAAAGTCTAAATCCAAACAAAATTGGTTGTAGTTGAAACTTCCAAAAAAAAAGACCAAAAAAAGAACACTCATATTCATAATACATGGTGAACCAACGCTGCCTGATGCCTCCTTTTAATGTGGAGCATGGTACAAATACTTGTGTTTTGAAGTGTGTTTGTATATACAAGCTTATCTGATGTCAGGAGATATATATAACACTGTGGTAAGAATTAGCACTCCCTTTTGTACTGTACCATTAAGATACTGGTACGGACTCCAGCAACACTGCGATAACTGGGTCGGTTGGTTTTTATTAGAACAGCCTGTTTTCAGTGGATTATACAGCCTGTGATATGTTCCCTTTGACAAGGAGTGTTAAAGGATTGCTACTAAATTTGACAGATTTTGCCCCAGTTCTCCACTTTCCCTGTCTGGAGAAGCTATTGGGAAGCCTTTTATGGTTGATCCTCCGAAACATGATGTGAAGGGGAGAGAAGCTGGATGCAAAATATGGTCTAGCATTGAACAAAAATTTCTTTAAACCCTATTGAGACAGAGTGATTTGCTCATACTTATATGCACTGTTCCTCTACTTTCATTTCTCTGTGAAAAGCAAGCCAGAGGGAAATGAGGAACAGGCTGGCGTCCAGCTTCTCTCTCCTTCAGATCATGCAGAGAAATTCAGAACCATGAACTTGGGTGTGTCAGCTGGCTAATAGCATTTCAGTTCACTCTGAAGCAAAATTAGCGCCTGGTCTATCCTTAAAATTTAGGCCAACATAGCTGCAGAACTCAGAGGTGTGTGAAATCCATACCCTTGAGCGTTGTAGCTATCCTGACCTAACCCCCAGTGTAGACACAGGTTGATGGAAGAATGCTTTTGTTGATCCACCTGCTGCTGCTTGGAGAAGTGGTGTTCTACAGCAACAGGAAAAACTCCATCCATTGATGTAGGCTGTGTCTACACTATAGGGCTGAATTGACATAGCTACATCACCGTAGCTATCCCACTGTAATTCCTGTGGTGATACATGGCCAAAGTATCTAAATAGGGCTCAACTAAATTCCATCCTTGATGTTCTAGATGGGGGAAGAGGCTTTGCGGCTAGAGCGGAGGCAAAATCAGGTGACCTGGCTTTTGTTCACTTGTTTTAGCACTGCTTAAATGGTCCTGGGCATGTCCCTTAAACAGTGGGCCTCAGTTTCTGCTTTAGAAAAAATTGATATAATTATACCTCTCAGGGATATTTTGAAGCTTAATTCATTACAGCAGTTAATACCAGCTGGATGTGAATTAGCACGCTATTGGGGGTGGTATTCAGGTATGTTGTGAGGCAGAAAGATAGAAGGTGAGTGCCTTCTTCCAAGTAAGAAGTACACCATTAACTTACTGATTTACACCTTGGCAATATTGATTGCTAATACTCAGGTTCATTCATATTTAATTTTCTTAAAAGTTTAAAAAAAAATTTGGGGGGTGGGTATGGCATTATATGAAATCTCTTAAAAGAGGAAAATATAAACAGACTTTCACTTTCCACTTTTTTTTTTCTTGAGAGTTTTTGGGCTCTTTGGACTCCTCTTTCCATTTCCAAGAAACCCAGCTGTGCTTTCATAAACAGTTTATGACCCAGTATCCACTTTGAATGTACTTTGTTATTAACTGGGGACCAAGTCCTGCTCTACTGGTAGTCAGTGGCAAAACACAAATTTTGGCATATGGAATTCCCAGTTGAGTTTGGATATTCAATGGGTTACAAGTGCCTGCAGGGACCACTAGCTGCTGCAGAGATGGAATTTTGATTAGGAGGGTCCATCAGGCTGCTTCTTAGGTCTCCAGGTCCCTTATGTTGTCTCCCCCTCCATAGCATTCTCCCCATATCCATTTAAGAGAATGGTGAAGGAGTTTTTGTTTTCCAATAAAGAGGTCCTAGCTGTGTTGGTACATGTGTGACATCAGCAAAGGGCCAGTCAGCCAATCAGTGTGGCTCCAGACAGTCATTCCTAGCTAGACTAACAATGTTTGTAGAAATCTTAGGAGCTCAGATGGAAGGTGTAATAAGTGCACATTTGTTTTCTTTGAGCCTTGGAATATCACATGAGGGCCTAAGATCAATGTGATGATAGGTCAGACTGAGGGAAGATAGAGATGGGGGCAGTGTCTTAATTTTCAACCCCTTTGATTTTTGTGGTTTTGTTTGTCCTTCTAATCTCTATCCCAGATTAATCTAAATCTTGCCCTATTGTTCAAAGGTGTTGCAAAAAGTAACGTTTGGCGCATCTGTAGTGCTGTCTATCTGAGGATCTCAAAGTTCTTTTCAAGCAGTAAAGAACTTCAGCCTCCTCTCTCTTTCTCTCTCTCACACACACACACACACACACACACACACACACACACACACACACCCCTCCCCAGTGTGGTAGCATCTTTGTTTACAAATGAGGAAGCTGGCACAGAGAGGTTGCAACCTCGTGCCAGTTTTGAACTTGGGATTGTTTTCCTCTTTGAGTTACCATTGCTTTACACCAGCATAAGTGAGATCAGAAGTCGGCCAGAGCCAGGAACAGAACTAAGGACTCCTCAGTCCTGTCCCTGAAGCACAAGAACATGTGTATAGCTTAATAATGCCTCCAACATCGTCTAACCTAAAGACAGTATTTCCTAACCAGGGTGAAAAACACTTTTGTTATCACAGCCCTTTACAACTTAAAGGAATACAAGCTGTGCTGTTAGTGTTTGACAAAGTTACAATTAAGGACAGTCCGCAGTGAACTTCAATACTTTTTTTTAGTGTGGTTCATGGTTTCTTCTTACTTTCGTTTAATATAATTTCTTTCCTTTCTTGGCTTCACTTCACCTTTCCCCAGTAATACGTTATGGTGTATGTCTTCCTACATTATTTTCAGTCTGTTTTCCTCTCTGCCTTTCTCCCTCCCTCTCTTTTTATGTATCTTCCTTTTCATTGTGTTTTTAATCTCTTCTCCTATTTCTCCCCCAGAATCTCTCAAAATACCATGATTTTATTTTCTAACAACTTATCTGATCAGTCTCTCCTTTTCCTGCCTTGCCGTGCCCTGCCCCATCTATCTGCTTGGAAACTTGCTACTTGGAAACTTGATCAGACCCCAAATAATTAGAGGATGAGCCAAAAGGCCAATGCAAAATAGAGAGGAACCCATTGTACTGGGGCTGTGTCCAGGTGAGAAGCGAGCTATCTGCCCCTTCCCCTGTCCCCTGGGAAAGGGAACGATGCTGGAATACCTATTGGGGTGATGTCCCTGGTCCCTTTTCTGGGGCTCCATCTTTCTTATAAGCATTTGATTATCAGGCTTCCAATATGTTTGGAAGTGTTTCCCTCGATTCCAAAAAGCCCTCTGGCAGCTAGAAGGGAGCTTCAGAATTTGGTGTCTCTTCCTCCTGAACCGGCAACATTGGTCGATGGTCTGTTACTCCAATCTTCTCTCTTATGATTCTTCCCTCCTACTTACCCTGCTTCTTGATGCTGGAATGGGGTGATGTCTCCACCATTCTATTCCTGTTTCTATTAGCAGCCAGAAAACATCTGTTTGCTAGACTTTCCCGCTAGACTCAATCTGTTGGTCCTTTCCAGTGGATATCTCCACTTGCTGTTGTCACTGCTGCTTAGAGCTTTCCCAAGCAACAGCAGGGTGAAATTGACTTGATTCTTGAGTTTCACTGCTGAATAGTTAGTAAAAATTGATCAGACTGTTATGTTTTTACTGTACTACAGTTCAAGAAAACAGTGAGCAGCAACATAGGCATGGTAGCTGTCAGCAGACTTCGTAACCAAAGGGCTAGAAATTTAGTTTTAATGAAGGCTTTAATTCTTGCAGGAACTGATGGCACCCTGAATTTACAATGTTTGAATAAAATATATGTAAAATGTTAATAGAAATAGGCAAAAGGGCCTGATTCTTCTCTTGCTTGCACAAGTATAAATTGTGAGTAACTCCAGTGGGATACCTGGGTATAAATTCTGCATAAATGAAGAAAATTGGGCTCAGTGTTTAACATTTTTCTGTAGATGATGACTTTTAAGTGATCTTATAGTTCTGGGGTTACTTCCCCCCCTCTTTAACGGTGCCTCTCTGAGCTTTTTAACTCTTGTATTCTATTAACTGCATGCAGCAACTTGCCACCGGGTGGGTGGGACACTGTGCTATTAAATATTTATAATATCTCGTTTTGTTGGACTAGAGAACTCACTTTTTACGTTTGCTTTTTCATTTATCTGATGTATTCAAAGGATTCCTAGATGAAGTGATGAAGAAATATGGCAGTTTAGTTCCACTCTGTGAAAAAGATGTCATGGCAAGATTAAAGGAAGTGTTTAATGAAGATTTCTCCCATAGGTTTGTGGCGCTAATATATTCTAGTACTTGTAAAAGGAAAAGTTACTTGAATCGCTAATTTGCATTCCAGATTGAAACTGACACCTGCTGAAACAGCTCCATTTGGTATGAACTGGAATATCTTTATCCATGTCTCTACCTTTTCAATTCTGTTTCAGAAAGCCTTTTATCAGCAGGGAAATCCTGAAGTATCGGACAAGGCATCCAAAATCTTCCACTTGCAATTTCCGGGTCTTCTATAACAAGCACATGCTAGATATGGATGATCTGGCTACACTGGATGGTCAGAACTGGCTTAATGACCAGGTTAGAGATGCATGATGTTTATGTTTACCTCTTCAAAGTGTTAAAAAATATTAGCTAATCCTCATAACCCCCTGTGTGAGGTAGGTCACTGTTATCCTCACTTCATAGGTGGGAAACTAAGGCAGAGAGGTCGAGTGGCTTTTCAGTGGCAGACCAAGTAATATAGAACTTGAGTTTCTGGCTCCCAGACCTGTCCTCATGTAAGTACACTGTACTTCCTCTCCAAGAAGACAGTGGTTGCAGGTGTGAAAGGATAGTATTTCCTCCCACTTAGCTAGAAGAGGGGAAAGTAACAGCAATGCAAGGCCCATAGCCAAAAAAATGGAGAGAGTAGCAGTCCTCCAGATGTGCCTCAGTAGACTTGAATTGAATTACACCAGCATTTCATACTGAGGCCATCTTTAAGCATCTGCTTATATTATGTCTGCTCTAGCAGCCCATGGTTGATTCCAGAGCTCTCGACCTGCATCAGAGTATAATAGAATGTTACTTTAATTAGTCAACTTCTTTTTAGAAAAAAGGTGTGTGCCCTTTAGATGCCCTCTCAGATCTTGGATTTACTCTCAGGAATACAATGTTATTTTTGTGCAAATTATAATTTTTACTAACTCTTGCAGATTATTAATATGTATGGTGAACTCATAATGGATGCAGTCCCTGACAAGGTGAGCATTTTTGTTTTGTGAAAAGGTGTCCCTTACGGGGTGGAAAGGGAAAGATGGCATAAGACCATAGATACATGTGACAAATGGGAGGGAGGTCTGATGCAGATTAAAATGCCATTATGATGATTCAAAGTGACAGTCTAAAAATAGCTCCTCTGTACTCACTAGTTCTGCTGCCTTTAATCAGTCTTTTGTTCACTTTACTGGCACACATGTTTACACCTCTTAGGCTCACAGAGCCACAAAAATTATGAAAGTGAGCTGGATTCTCTTCTGGCTCGTGCATCATCAACTGTGTTCTTAACTACTTTCCAGCTGTAGAGTGTCTTATTGTTGGTGTTGACGTTCAGGGCAGAAGAAACCCATCTTGACTTTCAGATTCTGGATTGAGTTTGGTTGTAGCACTGACAGTTAGAAGAACCATCTGTTTACTTGTAAGCTGAACAAATTGAATATGGAATCATTGCGACCACAAAGAAACCACACAATGCCATTTTTAGATTGGCTGGCTGCACAGAGGATAGCAACCCTTTAATGTTCTCGCTCAGAATGTAGAGCACTGCTTCTTTGATTGGTGGTGGTGGTAGTGATTCCTCATCAGTATTCTCTCTGCTTTTCAGTGCATGAACCAGAACTGTGGTATTGGAGATTGTATCTGTCTGCCTGTGCCCACTTTTTATAGTGCATAATTTAAATCCTCATGGGAGATCTTGTTCTAGTACTTTGTAGTATGCAGTTAGAAGTTTCTGTTGGCATAACTAATAGGTTTTATCCAGCATTTTCAAATGCTGAACTATCCAGCTTTTTTCAAGCAATAACTTCTACCACCTCAATACTAGCAAGATTATTAAATGCAGATGTTGTAAAGCTACATAAGATGTGACTTACAGCTTTTCATTTTGTATTAATCTCTTCCTTTAATTGTAGAGGCTAACACAAGTGTTAATCTAATGCTAAAGAAATTGTTTTAATTGTAAAAATCGACAACCTTTTGCCACAACAATAGGTTGCAGTTACTTGCAAAAGATGTGACACCGCAGACAAAGACAAATTCAGAAGCATTTTTGTGAAGTCTGTAACTGGCCAGAGGGTTGAACACTGATGTCCATGTTTTTGTGTCTTAAACTTTATAACTTGTGACAATCGAATTATTTGGTTCTGAGTCACAGAGCAGAAAATGGAAGGAGTTTCCAGCAAGTTATGTCGGGAGGATGGGAAAATATAATTTCCCCTATCCTCCAGTGGTTTTAATCCCCGCAATGCGGGAGAATAATATCTGTAACTCTTCTTTAGCCTCTTCTCCCTAAACAAAATATTGCGGCTGCATGTCGTAGGCTTAGGAATGCTAAGTTCAAAAAATAAACTGCTTTGTAGCACATGGTCTAGGGAAATAGAGAGTTTATCTTCATTCTGAAAAATGGCAGTATTTAAGTTTTGCTAAAACATCTATAGACTTACTTGTCCCTTTTACTGTTTTGCTTTTTCAGTTCTTGTTTATTAGCCAATTAGATGTTTAATTTTGTAGAAGGTTTGTTTGGCATTACTGGAAGAATTTACACACGCTTTTAACCCTCATTTCTTTTTTTTAATTTGTCTTTCTAGGTTCATTTTTTTAACAGCTTTTTTCATAGACAGCTGGTAACCAAAGGATATAATGGTGTAAAACGATGGACTAAAAAGGTACTATTTAATTCTGTCTGTCGCTTATCATTTATGTAGAATAGATCACTGGATGCTGAGACTTAAAAATTTTCTTGTGAGCAGGGGAGAAATGCTAACTTGAAATTATGTTAGTACCAAGTGACAAAAGAGAGTTTTTACTGCTTGTTACTCCTCTCAGTATTGCTCAGCCAACAAGGCTGTGGGAAAGCCGCATTCTATTCCTCCTTCTGCATCCTCAACAGAATTGGGTTTTTTAAAGATTCATTATCATTTGGAGCTTAGCAAAAAGGGGTTGTAGCTAACAACTCAGTTTGGATGGCAAAACCCCTTCTTGCTGGTGGTGATGTTTGAGAAGGAAAGAATTCAGCCTGGATTCTCGACATCAAGTTGGTTTGTACGGGGCTGTCGGCTGAAAGAAAAATAAATCTCTATTTGTAAACGCTTGCACGTTGGGTACAGAAATTTAAGGATAACAAACAAGAAACCCACAAAGCATTTTTAGAGACTGTGTACAGTAGAGCCACATTTTAACACAGATTTTAAACAAAAAAAAAAAGCAGGCAAGCCTATTTCAAATAGGAATTGTAGTGTACTTTTGATAAATGAATTGAAAAGTTATCAAGTTTCTGTTTACCTCCCCTCTGGTGAAATGTGACTTTTTTTTTTTTAACATACCAGTGGTCTTTAAAGGGATACTGTTTAGGTCCAAATCTTTTACTAGAGCTTATTAAAACTGGACGTACTAAATTTTAATTTGCTTTTTCACTACTGTCAGTGGTGTACTTTATACGTTTTGCAAAAGCTTGGTAAGTGAAACTAGACTGGTCGCTTTCTGGTTCCCATGCTCTACAGCACTATTGATTATGCTCACAACATTGTAGGGGAGTGTTCAGATGGGGACAGGACTGTATTACATGAAAGTAACATTGTGAAAATATTTGTTAAAAAAATCCCTAAAGTCAGGCCCTAAACAGTTCTGTGTCCCTTCCAAAGTAGATCCCTGTTTCCTACCGCACCATTGCACTGAGGGGAAACTTCATTTCCTCTGGAATAAAAGCAATAGCCTGTCATACAAGATGGTTCTATAAATGCTGATACTAATTGCTCTTACAATTAAAGTACAGATATAAAGGCAGAGGGCCAGACTTTCAAGCACTGTTAGGCATATAGCATTGAAAATTGGGTTTCTGACTAAACATTTTTTAGGAAAAGTGTCTGCTTTCTGCAAAAACTTTCAAATGGTCGTCTGAAAACTCAAATATTTCAGTTTGCATACATTGGTGCAAGGCCTCATGGGAGTTGTAGTTTGGTTGCTTAATGTCCCAGTTCTTCTTTGTAGGCTGGGCTCCCTGTCTGGATTACAAGAGGGGAGACTGTGGTGCAACATGGAATATGCAGCCTGGCCTACAGAGGAACGTGAGGCACTGCTATAGCGTTTCCAAATCGAAATACATTATCACTATTAGCTGCTGGGTGCTGAGCACTGCCAAAGATCTGTCTGACCTCTTGTTTGCATCATGTGTTACCCACTAATGTTCGTACAGACACTTTATTTCCTTATGACAAATGTAATCTGCCCCTCTCCCACTCATCGTTTTATAGCATGGACACTATGCTTTGTACAAATAGCGTAGTGCTTTTAAAAATACATAGGGATTGCCTTACAGGATCAGACTAGTCCATTTAGTCCAGTGTCCTGTTTCTTCTGCATTTCTGGTGTACACAACGAGATTCTAGCAATATCACGGGCTTTTGTGGGGCAAAAGAGAAGACTGAGGGGCACAGTGCAGTTGAAGACCAAAGCAGTTCCAGTGCCTAGCTTCCAAAAGAATAAAACCTGATCTACTCTTAAAATAATGGGAGCGTTCTAAAGTTTGCCATGTTGTTTAGATCCTGCCATTCCACGTGATTTTTAAGGTGGTATTAGTCCTTCTCCCTTGTCTACCCAGCAGCGAGGTACTGCAGTCAGACAGGCAAAGTATCATCATTCAGTGATTGCCTGTGCTACATTAATGATGCAGGATGAGTTGTTCACTGTGCCTTCCGAATGTTCCTTTGTGTGTAACAGCTCTTCATATAAACCAAAATCTAGTGCCTGGGGATCTGGAAATCCACTTTTGCTTTCCATTGCAGTTCACAGCACTAGGAATTAAACAACCTAAGCACGTAAAACCTTCCTTAAGGAACTGTTTGTCCTCAACATTAAGATGCCGTCATCCCTTACCCAAAACTTTGTTGTTGTCACTCCATATGCCCTCTGATTCCTCGCCTGTGGACTAGTTTTGGTATTACTGTAGCACGGCAGAGCCCTAGTTATGGCACAGGACCCCGGTGTACTAGGCACTGCATAGTATATTGGCCTCATCTTTCTTTGCCTTTGCCATGAAGAGTCACGCCCTGTTTTATATTGCTTATTGGACTCGATAGAAGAACACTGAATGTTCTAGGTGCTGTACAGACACAGGAAGACCATCTTTGCCCTGGAAGGTATCTCTGCCTCTTTATTGTCCGGGCTGCAGTTCACTGGGCAAGAACAAAGTGCCATGTTACAGTGAATAAGGGTCAGAAAAGTGCCTCGACCTGCTGTTTTTGTGGTTTCTTTGAGTCCTGATTGCTTAATCTGCTGACCCATTTTTACCGCCATCGGCATTGCAGAGTCAGTACGAATCAGCTGAGTTCTCACTGCAGAAATGTCATTAAAGATGTATGAATGGCCTAGCTTGATTGTAGGTTGTGTTAGCAATGTTAGTTAGTGTGTGTCCACACTACCCTCCCTTCTAACACATAAATTGAGCATGCTTTGTTGCAATTGCAGATGAAGACTAAATGTGGAATCTCCACAGTGTTCATAGTCGCTTTTTGTACTGCAACAATGTCTTGCATCTAGTACAAGACACACACATGTGACTGAAATGCACATGTGAAGAGCTCTTGGAGGGAGTTAAAAGAAGTTCTGTTTAAAATAAATACAAAGTTGTGGGAAGCATATTTAACTTGTACATGGTCTGTTACTCTGTTTGGTAATACTTATCATTTTGTTTGTCAGGTGGACTTGTTCAAAAAGACTCTCTTGTTAATTCCAATTCACCTGGAAGTCCACTGGTCCCTCATTACTGTGAACATCCCTAACCGAATTATTTCATTTTACGATTCCCAAGGCATTCATTTTAAATTTTGTGTAGAGGTAAGAGGAATTATTATAGTTACGCTTAAAGTGCTTGGATCCTTGCTTTAAGAATTAAATTTTCATCCTCACCAAAATAAGTCTAGGTTTTGGGTGCATCATGCTTTATGGAATCTCTGTGCATGTACTAAAAATAAATACTTGGCATTTCTGTTGCCTTCATCCGGTTCTTAAAGTGATTACAAGGGGGCAAGAGAGTTACTAACTTCTTTGACAGATGGGGAACCTGAGACACAGACCTTGTTAAAGGTCACAGCGACCTTGTACCAGACCTAGCAGCAAAGCCCAGGTCTTCCATTGCCATATTCATACAACCAGTCTGTGTCTAGCAAACTTTTCTATTGTGTATTCTCTTCTGTGTCACTCTCTCACAAAAACAAATGCTTAAAGCCTAGTCCAGTGTAAGAAACCCATTGTTCAAAGAGGGCTAAGATAGCCCTTTGCACGTCTTGTGAGCCAAAGATTTTGTTTTATTTTTTTGAGGAGTGCAGGTACCAGCAAACTTTTTTTTTTCTTAAATGTCTGGTTGATTGATAATATTTCGGTCATGATGGTAAAGCGTAGGCAAGTAGTTTGGCCTGGACTGACCCGTTTTAGTGGCTGTTTTGCAAAGCTGACCTAATTGCTCGCTCATATAGCAGGCTGCAGCTTTTAAGTGTGTGTAGTTGTCCTCTTTTGTCTTAAGGCAGAGTAGCAATTATTGTACTGAGAGCTCATAGAAAGGACATCGGAATTAAAATAAATGTCCCATCAGCAACTGCCAAAGATAAAGCTGAGGCCTCACCTACTCCTAAAAATTATATCGACCTCGCTGCCTCAGTCAAGGCTATGAAAACTGCAGCTCCTTGTGCGATGCAGTTAGGTTGACCTAACCCCCACTCTAGACACAGGGAAGCCCCATTGACCAAGCTACCACCTCTTGGAGAGGTAGATTAACTCTGTCAATGGGGAAACCCCTTCTGTCAGTCTAGGAAGCTGCAGCAGGGACTGTAGTGTCAACACACCCTGGTGTTTACAGAGCTAGGGAGTTCAACCAGAGGTGGTTGAAGCTGTGGCTCTGCTAACCAAGATGCTGTCCCCCGTCCCTTCCCCCCCCTTTTTGGATTTTCCGATTTCCCCCAAATCAATAGGCTTCTATGCATTGATGCCGAGAACCTGCCCTGAAACTTTGGAATTGATCAGATGCAGCAGACAAAAGTTATCCATGACTTTCAAAGAGAGAAGTGCCATCGAATTGTGCGTAAGGGCCCTGCAAGCTCGGCCAATCAAGTAAATTAGAACTGGACAACGCTAGGCCATCTAGTGCATCTCTCCGCCAGTACAAAATTCTTCTCTACAGTTCGTTTTCTTGCGCTTTGCACAATCTACTTTTAATTGCCCCAAGTGTGGTGGGGTTTCCAGTGTGTATCCCTGCTTTAACTGGGGGGCCAATTTCAGCCCTGGTGCTCAATGAAGCCAGTTAGTTCTCTCCTTAACCACTAGAACTGGGTTAAGCACAAGGGCCAAACTCACCCTGGTTAAATGTACCCGCACGCCTTTCTCCTTGGCTTTAATTTGTGTGTAACTGTAAGGCTGTGATTTTTCTTTTTAAGAACATACGAAAGTATTTACTGACTGAAGCAAGAGAGAAGAATCATCCTGAGTTTCTTCAGGGATGGCAAACTGCTGTTACAAAGGTAAGCGCCAGCCCCTCTAAACCCTGCTGTGAATCTTCTGCAAGCTGAATCTCTTGGGTGTGCCACCTTCACTTTTAAATCCATGTTATTTAAAGAAGCAGTAAATATTTATTTTTAAATGAACGAAAAGGAAGAAGCTGGATGACTTGGGCTTGCCAATGGACTCTTTGTTGCTGGTTCAGATCCCACCAGGCCTCTCTCTCCTGCTAAGTGAGCTGGTGGCTTCCGCCCAGACCCTGGTGGAGAAGTTATTCACATTGCAAAGCCACTACAGTCAGTGCCCATGTTGGTAGAGGGGTAAAGAACTGAGTGCTCAGTAGAGGCCAGCTCTTCTTCCCTTTAGAGGTGACCGCTCCCAAAGGTTGAGGCACATCAGCAGGGGACAGTATGAGGTGAAAAACAAGTACAGCTGGGGATAGACAGATGGCTTTGTCTATATGCTGCGCATAGACAGAGCGCCTTGGTCTCCAGGGCTGTCAGTCTGGCACATTTCACCAGCACTGTATTCGCTAACAAATAAACTGTCTCTGGCAGTGACAAAAGGGAACAACTTGTGTGAAGTTCTAACGAGGGAATTTGTGACTTGTATAACTGTCCTGTAATGGCTGAGGATATAAAACAGGTCATTGAACATTAGACAGTTTCCCAATGACTTCCCACTCACAAGAGATACTTCTAGGTTCCAGTGCAATGCTGAGAGGATCCCAGATACATGTCTTCCCTTTATTTCTGTTTCAGAGTAGCAGTCGTTTTAGTCTGTATTCGCAAAAAGAAAAGGAGTACATAAGTGAAAGCTTATGCTCAAATAAATTTGTTAGTCTCTAAGGTGCCACAAGTCCTCCTTTTCTTTATTTCTGTGTAGCCCTATGTGAGATGGATGATTTTTGCCTCTAGGAATGTATCATTTTTCCTCTGGCAATGCTGTGGATTTACAGGAAATATGACTGTTAGAGAGCTAGTGAGTTGCAAGTATTTAAAATAAAAAAATTGAGAGAGAGCGTGAGCGGGATGATCTGGCAAAGCCAGGAAATTAATTGGGGTGTCATTTGGGGTGAATTCACTGTCTCTTTACAAACATCGTTTCTGGCCAGCAAACATGCAATGTGCAGGCCCACTTGGCCTGCCCACAAATTGCCTGTTGCTTCCTTCAAGATCAGTGGGGAAGATGGGGATCCACCTTCTATAGCACAAATACCTAGGGAAACATTTCTTTAGGCTTGCGTGAGTTTGCTGATGTCTTTAAGTCTGACCTGAGTAAAGTAGACAGTAACGTTAAAATATTTATTTAAAGAAATTGAGAGGAAGCTATCCTGAATTGGTCATTAAAAACCGGATATAGGAGGGAGAGCTGTAATTTCAGTCATAAAATATCTACTCTCAAATACTAGGCATGATCCTAACAAGGTGCAGAGTTTGCCTCCCCTGGCATGACTGGACCCAAAATAAGTAATTGCAGCTCAAGCTGTAAGTGTTGCAGAGTCACCAGTTTTCAATAAAAAGAGCTCACTAATCTTGCAAAATCTTATTTTGGGTTTTAAATAGAACTTTGAGTGAAAATGGAAGGAGGGCTAAGGATCTGTCCTTTCATGTGTTGTCTTTTTCTCCTCCCTCAGTGCATTCCACAACAGAAAAATGACAGTGACTGTGGGGTTTTTGTGCTCCAGGTAAGAGTGTAATTTTAAAGCGCTATGTGGCTTTTTTTCCCTTTGTATTTCTCAACAGTTTTCCTGTTTCAATTCAGCTTTTTTTTTTATTTTCCTCAGTACTGCAAGTGCCTCGCCTTAGACCACCCTTTTCAGTTCTCCCAGGAAGATATGCCACGCGTAAGAAAAAGGATTTACAAGGAGCTGTGTGAGCGCCAGCTAATAGATTAACAATAAAAAAACGAAAAGAAGAAAAGTTGAACTGTTTCTCTGGCATTTGTGAAGAGTTCCAGCTGGTGTTTGTGTACTTGAATTTCTGAAAACTTCCGTGAATTTCAACTGACTCGCAGCTGAGTGGTGTGGCCACTGTTACCTCAACTTTTTCTGCTCTTTCCCTGGCAGGACTTAACAGAGCTGCCCCAAAATATTCCTAATGTCAGTTTGGTTTCCTCTTTTATTTTCTTTCCTGTATTTAATATTTATTATCTACGCATGCACATAGGCAAAGCATGCGACTAAAAAAAAAAAAAGTATCGAATTGTAGATTTGGTGCACCTTTGAAATGTAGCTAGAAATGACAGAATACAGGTAAAAAATTTGTCTGAAAACATAAAGATGCATGATCCGTTTTCTGACGCAATAATGCTTTGAATGTATCAAAACCTTTTCAATGCCATAAAAAGAGCAGCTAAACCTTTTATTTGAAAACTCAAATTATTCCATTTTTCTCATTGGCTGTGTAGTACTGAATCCCCACTTTTTGGGGGGGTGGGGACAGGGGTGGATAAATCCGCCTATAGATTTTATTTGTGGAGACCCCCTTTGAATAGAGTTGAAGTCACTAATAAAAAAAAAAAAATTGTTCTCTGTTAACGTTTAGCTAGCTGTCGTTATCCCCCCTGTTCCCTGTGGTTGGAAAGCAACCTTTGCACAAATGAGACTTCGGCACTTGACTGTATAATAAAACATGGAGATATTCAGCTTTTCAGATTGACAGTATGTTCATATGTGCTTTGGGAGCCCTGATGATTGTGCATGTGTCTTGGAACGTTAGAGAGAGAATGATGAAGCCGACCCTGAAGATGCAAAGCTTCATTTTAACCTCAGGTTTGGTAACTAGCAACCATTCAAGTCTTAGCCTATTTATAGAATTTACCTAAGGTGAAGTGGTACGTTTCAGGCATCTTCCTTCTGGGTCTCTCTTCTGAAACTGGATTCCCTTCTAGCTGTTCTGTCCCTCCCATTTCTCTTCTCCTTCCCTCCCCCCCACCATTCTATAACTTTAATTCAGTCAAAAAATATCTTTCCGCTCCTCTCCATGGTACTTGACTATCTTAAACTCTCGTCATCCCCTTTTTGTTTATGAATTATAGTGTGGTAACACCTAGGAGCTCTCATCATGGCTCAGGGTTCCGTTGTGCTAGGCGCTGTACTTACAGAACAAAAAGACACAGTCCCTGACCCAAAAAGCATACAATCTAAGACAGTGGTGGGCAACCTGCGGCAGGCCGCCAGACCGTTTTACGTTTGCACGGCCGCCCGCAGCTCCCAGTGGCTGCGGTTTGCTGTTCCCGGCCACTGGAAGCGGCGGGCCGCAGGTTGCCCCCCACTGATCTAAGTAAGATATACTACAGATTTGATCCTGCCTCATGTGGTGTAGGAATGTTGCCTGGCTAAGTGGAAGACAGAATGCAGGGGAATCTGATGCTGGATTGGTGACATCACCACACCAACTCCTAGTAGAGGTTTGAGACTGAATAGGAGAGAACATGTAACTAAACGCCTATGCATGGCATCTCCTCGCCCACTTTCTGGCCATGCTCTGCTGTTCCCCTTTCTTTACACAGTCATTTTTTCAAGTAAGGGAGTAGGCCCAGAGGGGCTGCTCTGTGCAGAGGATTATGCTGAGCACTTAGTCGTATTTTGTGCTCATGCATAGTGTAACAGCCTTGTGCTCCCAACCGTACACCACACAAGGGCTTGCAGCATCAAGCCTTGCCTCCCAATTCAGCAAGGTTCTTAAGCATATGCTTAAAGTTAGACGCTTGCTCAAATACTTCATTGAATTGGGCACTTGGTTCAAGGCCTAAGTAGTTGTAAGCTCAAGATTTAAACTTTGTGCATCTTTGTTTAGAAAAGTCCATGGATTTATTTAAGCATTCCCCTATACTATTGTGAATACAACCCCAGCACACTTGTCATAGTGTCTGGGACCAAAAATTGCATACGTTGGCCTTTAAATAAAAATGAAACTTAGTCTAGTTTCGCTATCCAAGGTGAGTGAAATGCAAAGAATAAATCGCATGAATGATGGCAAGTCGTTTTGATTTTAGATGTCTGCTTTTGTAATTTAGGATATTGGTGAGAGGCGAGGCAACTTTTAAAAAAATGAATTATGTTGGTGGTATGCCAAATGGGACACTTCTCAGAATGTGAGATTCCCAAGCAAGTCTGTTCTCCGATCAGAAATGACCGAGCACTTTCCATAGAGGAGTCCTTGTCTTTGAGTATTGGATTTCCTAATTCACTGGAATCTTTGGTCACTTGATGGACTGAGAGACCAATGTTTTGGAACCTTTTCTTATGATTAACCTATCCCAACGTCTCTTCTCAACCTTTTCCAAACCAGGACCATCTCGGAATGCCCTCCCATTTAGCAGTAGGGGAAAGGCAGGGTGGTTATGACCCCCAGGTTGAGAACCCCTGATCTAGACTATGCCTAGATCAGTAGTTCTCAATCTGTTTACCATTGTGGGCCACATACGCAGCTCTTTGTTATATGGGCTGCATCCACATAATATATATACTAACTGTATGGCTCTGACGGATGGACCCCAGCTCTGTGCTGATTGGGCCGCAAGTGGCTTGAGAACCACTGGCCTAGATCTCTGAATTTAGGGTTTCTCATTCATGATTTAGACATCGGCCTACAGTTGATCCTTTTCCTGCCATCTTGTGGCTTGATACCTACTTGCTAAGAACCCAAATTCAATTACACAAAATGGGAGAGGGGGAAGAGTCTCTAGGCCAGCTAGCTGGTGGCATCAGCCATGGCACAGCGCATTTATAACCCTCATATTTAACTGGAAAACGGATGCATTGAAATGATTTCATATATGCACGTTTCTTGATTTAATAAAAGAAATGGATCTTGCATCTTTAATCTGCAGCCTTGTGACGTTAGGAGTGAAGTGGAGAATTGGATGCGTTTCTCTAAACTCATCTATTTGCCAGCTTGTCAGCCAGTGGTTTGTTGAGAAGTATTCTAATTTCAGTTGATTATGGGGCACTGCAGAGAAGAGACACTCAAATATGCAGCTTAACATTCCAATGAGGGGAATCTGAAAAAGGAATGCAAGGGAAAGTTGAACTAAGATATTAAATGTACACTTTACTTACATAATTGTTAGTGTAGGGCTGCAATTCATTATGGGCATTCAGAACATGACACACTGGAGTGTTTACATTGTGAAACTTGGGCAGTTTAAGTCTTGTTCAAGAATGCTTCTCATCCCTTAAAGGAGATGGAGTTCATAACCTGCAGTCAGTTTGCTATTTCGTATAGTGCTTCAGATCTGTGGAGAGTGCCTTTATTATAACAGGCATATTTATATGGCTGTAGTTAAGGCTGTCGGCAATTCCATTAATGTGGTATTGTAGACTTTCATAAATCACTCTAAACTGCTTTGTCGAATACATAGCAAATATAGTATCTTGTTCTGAAGAGATTAGTCCAGTCGACAGTCAGATTGTACTACAAGCACGAAACGGGGGCTTTACCGGTTTTGGGATTCTTGGTATAACTCAAACTACCCGAATTGTAACACTTGTAAACTGACTGGCAATTGTGGTTTTATTCCCTATTTTCAGTTTGCCTGAATCTCTAGTTTAAAATGACAGACTCTGTTGCCGACGTAAATATGCATAAAGGAAATCGATTCCACAAGGTACTCAAGAATGGGTCTAAGCCTGGGTGTGGTTGTCTTGTCGACAAGCATCTTGCTGAATGAAAGCTGAACCTTAACACTGACTGCAACGTGCTGCCACACCTTTTTGTGGGTTGCAAGTGAGACATCGTGCGTATTTTGTGTATTACCCTGGTGATGATTAGGCACACCTGGAAAAATTTCCTCTCTTTTGCTGGTTTGCATTTTATCTCTAGTATAATACCTATGCCACCTTTATTTCCTGGGAGCTTTCAGTATTTGTTGTTCTAGCCACTGTAGTTTTTGTTCAAGTTAAGAAGGAAACTTAAAAAAACCCAAAACCTTAGAAAGTGACTTAGATTCATAAATTTCCCAAATCACAACTATGTTTGGGTGTGTGTTTGCATTGTATGAAAGTACTAAAGTTGAGCACTGACCCTAACCCTGTTGTCATTGAGCAGTGTGTTTTCACCTTTCTAATTTTTAAAACAAAATTAAAATGATTTTTAAGGGAATGTTGACAGGAGCTCAGTTTGGGATCTCACTCACTGGAGAAGTATCTCAATTTGATTAGCTCTAATAACTCTGAACTGCAGACAATGACTTTGGGGAGGGGGGGTGTTCTATAGTGGTGCAATGTTACAACTTTCTGTAGTTTGAGCTGTGACCAGTTTACAAAATGAGGCATCTTATATGCATTAAATAGAAGGAAGCTGCGTATAGTAGACATCTATCTTCTACTAAGGAGATACTCTAAAAATGTAGATCTGTCAGTAGAACAGGTAGAACTTGACTTGCTTTTACTCCTTTTATATGAAACAAAAATAGCACTGCTGATTAACTTGGTTATGTAGCTCTAGAGTTAAACTGCATTTCTTGCTGAACGTTATAAAAATGTACAGGGATTGAATGTGTGGCAAATGGGAGAAATGACGGCTTGGTAAGAAATGTCTCTTTAAGCTATTAATCATCTGGCAACATCCTTGTCTTTATTACATTCATAATTTAAAAACCCTCTCATGGAGGAAGTGTGGATGCTTGTTAAATATATTCTTTCAGTAGAGAGTACTAAGAAATCAGATCATTAAAATACAAAATCATAAAAGACACGAGTCTTGCCAGAAACAATAATTACTATTTATATGTAATAGGCATCAGGAGCAAAAGAGATGAGTCTGGCTTGCTTGTGCCTGAACTTAATGGATTTTGCAAGCAACAGACTAGAAGGATTTGGGGATAGAATTTAGTCTTCTGGACATGTAACACGCAACCTATATTGTTGGAAACTGAGTAAAATATCTTGAAAAATAAACTAACTTGTTTCCTCTGAACACAAGCAAGGAATTTTCCCCCCTGAAATTCCGGGCAATGCTCATTCCTGTGATTTTCAGATTTGATTCAGCTGACTAGTGCTTATTTTGTCTCCTCAAACATGGCATTAGTTCACTCTTTAAGGTCCCAATTGTTTCCAAAGAGACTCTGCGCTCTCAAGTTTGTTTCCACAGCTCTGTTAAGTTACCAAGCTCTTGAAGTGGGGGAGAGGTTTTGAAGTCATTACAGAGCCTTTAAACAAAAGTTGTAATGAGGTAAATTGGAGGGCTGGAGGATTGACATGTAAGGATGTATGAATTGTTTAGCCACATGAAGGACAGAATTTAGAGTACAAGGTAAGTCCAGTTTTGTTTCTGTTGTAGGTGCATATAAAGCCCATCCTTCCTGACTATGCAAACCTTTTTGGGAAGTAAAGTGTTATAACAAAGAGCTGCGTATTGTGGAGTTCAACAGCGCATTGAACCAGGGCTCCCCTGTCGTGTCACTAAGGTCACTTGAGAATCTTACTGGAGCAGCTGCTCCGGTTCCAGAGCCCTTTAAAGAGGGCAGATGTGCACTCCCCAAAGACACTGCCGTTCAGTCCTGCACATCTGGATTGTAGAGGAGTTCTGTTCACTAGTGAAATATTTGCTGTTTACCTCATGTTTGCAGTTAAAATAAACGGACTCCAGGAGCACTGATTTACAGTTGAAGAGGGAACACTCCCTGTACATGGCTCATTA